TCACTACTAAAAGTGATCTGTTGCTGCATAGCTTTATGAGAAGTATGGGTTAGGTCTCCACTGATCAGATCCAGATCCCCAATAAAAAAAGAAGAAAAGAAAGAAGCAGAAAAGTGTTTATATATATAAAATCTCCTAAAAATACATAAAAATGTTCCCTCCCCGGAGTAATCCCCAATATGAATGATCTGGATGACATATTTACTGCACAACCATCAAATGCGCACACAAGTGAAGCAATGTCATTCAATTGATTACAGAAATTAGATTACATAAATTGCGTAGGGAAGAAATTACAGAAAAATGCATTTTTTCTATCTATTCCCAATAACCAAGGAGATAAAAATGAATGTATACAAATGTTCTACCAAATTAAAGTCATATCTGTCCAGAAAAAAACTAATATGCTAAAGTAGACCACAAAACCTAAAAGATATAATGTGCAGAACGAAGGCATCTCCGAAACGGGAGAGAAAAACGTTCTGCAGCTTAGGGGGATTTTGGGAGATCAAGGCCTCGGGACTCAAGTGGTTAATAAAGTGCCGATCATGTAGTTGTACAGATTGTATTTTGAGTGTTTTGCCCATATGCTGCCGAGCGCTCTTTGCTTGTTTTGATCACCTGACACTGTATAAACCGCAAGATAATTCCGGAATGATGGGTTCTCCCATACCTAAAGCTCTAAATTCCAACTGGATGACTTTAAGCTTTCAAAAGAAATGTGTATCATAAACAAGTGCCATATTGTGTGTTTTTCCATAAAATGTTTTTTTACCTTTTTTTGTCATTAGTAATGTGCGTCAGTATGGTCGCCACATTTGACATGGTGACAATGCAGGAGCACATAGGCAGACAGGGACAGAGTGTTGTCACCCTATAATGGGAAGTGCCTGAACAAGGACCTACAGGTATCACCAGGTATTTTTATTATAAGCTGATGTAAAAAGATTAAAAAACAATTTGTAAAATGATATGAGCTTGTTAATGCTAATGAGATTTTAGTGATTGTGTTTACATCTAATCGCTTACAATGGATGCTGCTCCTTGATGTTTATAAGTTTTCGTTTCCTGCAGAATCAGTTGGTTGTGGGGGCGCACTGGGGTCCCAGCGTGCATTCTAGATTGCTGGGCCCCCAGTGCGTCCCTGCACCTTATTAGGAGGAGTTGGCTACCTCCAGGTACACCTGCATGCAATTTATCGACTTCATTAATATGCTCACACTTGGAGACTCGTATACATAGAGTTAGGACCACACCTTGCAGAGGTGCCTTGGCGCGGCAGTGTGGCTTCTACATATTTTTGGCCAAAGGTTTGTGCAACTAAAACCTCTGATTTTAACGCATACTGTTGGCAGGGCAATTTGTTTGGTTGCAGGCTGGCTGGCAGGTGAAGCTGGGGATTTTTTGTGTTTTTGTATTGTTGTAATCCTTCCCAATGTGCTCCCTGCCTAACAGGCTGGTTATAGATTCATGCAGGTACCATGGGCTCGTTCACACCATCTGCGTTCGGGCTGTGCTGGTCGTTTTTTCCAGTGCAGCCAAACGTAAGATAAGGCAATTTGCCTTGTCATGGGTGGTGACAGTTCACACCACTGCATTTGGTGGTGTGAGGCTAAAAAAGCGTACAGCATGCAGTACTTGAAGTGCACCGCAGTGAGACGCGGTACAACCACATCGCACCACGGGGAGCCAATAGAATATAAAGGACAACTATGAGGTAAGTGATTTACACTCATCCTCATAGTTAGAGCCGACACGTGTGACACTGAGACTGTCACACGTCGGCTCTATAGATCGAGAAGTGAAGGAAAATATACCGCCAATCCGCTCTCTTCCCGATCATCTCCCTGCAGAGAGCAGTGACAGTCAGTCACGGCTCCCCGCATCGATTTCCCCCCCACCCCGCTCCGATCCGATCCTCCAGCGCTGAGTGGAGGAATGGACGGGGTAGGGGGCGTGTATAGCTGGCTCTGCCTCTAGATCCAGCTGTCAATCAGCCAGCTGGGTGAATCGCAACAGTATTGTCAGAATCAGTCCCAGCTGTGGTGCTCTCAGTATAGCTCGCTATATACTGAGCTTTGGGTCACGGGAGGAGGTTAGTATATGTCCTGCCGTGACCCTAAAGAGAACTATGGGATAAAAAGGTTACCCCATAGTTCTCTTTTAATGAAATGTCATTTGTGACATTTATATAAAGCTCTAACAAAGCAAAAAAAGAAAAGAAACCGTGCAATGCGGCTCGATCGAGCGCATCAACATTGTCAGGGCACATGGACACCAGCAGCCATGCAGTTCCCTTTCCCTTGCAGGGTCCTATGGAGCCACCCTTGTGTGAGCGAGGAAGCCTCAAACGTGTCCACAAAACGCGCAGGCACAGCAAGGCAATCCACTCCCCTACTTCCCGCTCCTCCATTCTCCAAGCAATATGGATGGCTGCTGCAGACTGCTCCGTCCCTTGTGAGCTTGTACTGGACAGGAAGTTCAGGGATTCTGAGCTGGGAGAGTTAGAGCTGTTTGGAAACATGATGACTGGAAGTGCAAAAGTGTAAAGAAACACTTTGCTGGGCAATGAATATTTGTTTGATCTTAATTGCAAAAAAAGTTTGAGGGTGTAATACTACTTTATTGTGTGTCCTTTATGTGCTCAGAGTTCAGCTTTACCAAAAATAAATACAAGCCTAAAGTTGACTGCCTGTAGCCCAGACATGGCTGTGTTGTTTCTCGATTTTACATTATTGCCATAGCAAGGTGTAAATGTGTCAGCATTGTATTTACAGAGTGCTATGGAAACCGCTGTCTTGTCTTATCTTAGTGATGGGAAAGCCGTTCCAGCCCTTTGTGATATCTGAACTGCCCAGTACTCGCATTGTCTGCACCCTCCCCTCCTTTGTTGTATCTCTACAATGGTGGGAACTGGTGAGAAGAAGCTAGATATAGTGTTAACCCTTTTACTGCTGCCGGGCCTCATTCTTTTGGCATTCTGTCACTTGGCAAAATCCAGTTGGTACATATTTCAGATACATCGCTGAAACAGTTACAGACTTGAACGTATATTAAGGCCTCATTCACACGAGGGAAGGCCGTCGCGTACAGCTGCGTGCACGGCCGTATCGGGCAGCTCGTTACGCGCCTGCGCTGACCCGCCCTGCACGTCCGTGCGGTTATCCGCACTCGTACGCTGACAGGATGGATCCTGTCTCTGTCTGAGCCGGTACACCCGCACCCGTATGAACCTGCACTTGGGGTGAGTGTAGGGCCGCGTATTCCCATAGAGAAGGATAGGGGCTGCGTACTAATCACACGCAGCACCTGTCCTTCCCGGGAGCTAAAAATCTTAGTGGGGACACTTGTTCCTGTGACAAAAGTGAGGGGAAATTCCCCTCACTTTGGAGAGATTTCCACTGATTTCCTGAGGCTGATAGTCTTGCAATGCCTCATGGTACTTGTAGTTCCACAGCAGCTGGATTGCCGAGGTTGTCTACCCCCTGACCTTAACCCTTCCTATACCGGTAAGGGGCACACAGAAATTATTTTTGAAGACTGATCAGAGTTTAGCTTTAAAGAAGCTACTCTTAGGGAAGAACATCAGGAATTTAAAAACTCCATGGGTTAGGTGCTCATTTTGTCTAGAGGGCTCCAATAAAGCAGATATACTTACCTGATCCTGAATCCCATGGCTGTCAGCGCTCAGCTCTCTCCCCTCCACTCTGGCTGTGAAATGTACCTTGTCGTCCTCATGTCTGATGCAAGTCAGTGGATCTGCATTAGATGTGATGATGTCGGCAGTCCTTAGACCACCAGAGCACAGGCAAGAAAAGGCTAAGGGGGAACCGGTCTAGATGTCTGGCAGGACCAAGGATCAGGTAAGTAAATCTGCTTTATTTAAGCCCCATAGACAAAATGAGCACTTAACCCTTGCAATGAGGGGGTAGCCCTACTGAAGGGTAAGTTTTTTTTTTTTAAATTTCTGAAGTTCTTCTTTAAAGTGATATTATTATTGATATTATTTTTTATTATTTATCTTAATTGCAAATTTTTTTTTATTTTTTAATTTCTCATTTCCTCGTGGGTCTAGTGGATGCCCACATCCTCTATCCCCCCAACCCCCTGCACAGGTGCCACCAGCATCTAAACGGCTGCTGTAGAGGCATGCTCGTTCACGGTCGTGCCCGCAGTAGCTATGTGCGTCCATGGACACACACAGTCCTGCGGCCGGCCAGGAAGTTCGGGGCAGAGGATCGCTGCGGAGACTTGGCATTTTTTACCATGATGCAGAGAATACATTAACATGAAACACGCCCAGACCTTAATATTACTATAGGAAATGCTGAGTGTAGCAGCCTGGGGATTCTGCCTTTCTTTCAGCCATTTTTGTTCTACACCATTGTAACCTGCCTCCTGTGTTGTTGCCATCCTTTCCATGATTTCAGTGTGTGGCAGGTAGTTGGTACACATAAAAAAAATAAAAAAGACAGACACTGGAGGCCTTTTTTTTATTGCTTCTCATTAGAACGGTCTGCTGGACTGCCCGGTTTCCGTTTCTCTGTCTGAATATTTCCAGTCCTGGTTAAAATTGGTAAAATTCCTGGAACTATTTGCAATAAAGTGAACAGAAGGCTTTCAGCAGCCGCATGCTTTTGTTTGTTATTTGAACTTTCTCCTGCAATGCGGGCAATGCCTTGCTATTGTGTTTTGGGATTTTTGGGGCTTTTGTTTTTAAAACTAAAGTTTGATCTGCTTAAATTTTGCCTTCCCTAGTCTAAATTAGGGTATGTAATGAAAACGGAAAGGTGTTACTTAATCATTTCATCAGCATGTCGCGGGGGGCGGGCTAGAAAGACTAGGATCTTGGGAACAAGGTAGAATGATGTGAGTAAATTCAAGTCAGCATTTGCTGTGCTCTCTGCTGTGTTCTTCTGTTCTTTTCATGTTACATTTTTCTTCGCTCCTAATAGAAGAATATCCTGACATTCGTCCCTGTTTTATATCTCCTGCTTCAGTGTGAAGAGACCAGTTGGCATGAGCAGCATTCTGGGGAAACTGGGATCCAAAAAGATGAAGATGAGCACACTGGAGAAATCGAAGCTGGACTGGGATACCTTCAAAGAGCAAGAAGGGATCAGCGATGAATTGGCTATTCACAACAGAGGCAAAGATGGGTAAGAGTGTCCTATCATCCATCGCTCTTAGAGAGGAACTGCTGCACTCCTTACCGGAAACCCCTATGTAAAAGGAGGGTGCTGTAGTAACCACAGATGGCACGGTGCATCTTCAAATATATGATAAATACCACCAGCGCACCTATGTCTTGTGTCAATAATCCATCTTCTTTATTGATGCAGACTGTCAAAAAACAACGTTTCGGGGCCCCGCAGGGTCCCCTTCATCAGGTTTTAGTATGACATAAATAATCCATCTTGACATGACATAAATGATCCATCTTCTTTATTGATGCAGACTGTCAAAAAACGTTTCGGGGCCCCTTCAGGGTCCCCTTCATCAGGTTTTAGTATGACATACTAAAACCTGATGAAGGGGACCCTGAGGGGCCCCGAAATGTTGTTTTTTGACAGTCTGCATCAATAAAGAAGATTGAGTATTGACACAAGACATAGGTGTGCTGGGGACATCTATCATCCATCACTGCCACATATAATAAAGATGTGCGTTACTAATCTCCATACTGCAGATTTATAGACACATGTCTGTAGGTAAACCTTAGGCCTGGTTCACACCTGGGCGTTTTACAGTGCGTTCCTACGCTTTGTAAAACGCTCAACATGTGAAAACCAATGATTGCCTATGGGCATAGTTCCCACCTGGGCGTTTTACAGCGCGTAGGAACGCGCTGCAAAACGCCCTACGCCCAAAGAAGTACAGGAGCTTCTTTTGGGCATATTTGCCGCGCGTATCCATTGGGATACAGCCAGGTAGCCCTCGGAAACGGGCGTTTGTCGCGCTTTTTTTTTTATACAGCGAATCGCGGTAAAAAAGCGCGGCAAACGCGCATATTCAATACTCCTAGGTGTGAACCCAGCCTAATTCTTCTTCAAAATTAGGGATGACATTTATAGTGCAGCTCATCTTAAAAAAATTGCTCCCCCATCAGCTACATACATTGTAAAGATTTTCTTTTTTATATAAAAACTTTAATTTTTCTACAATCCTCAATAGCCACAAAGGCAATCTATCCACTATATGTGCACTTTGGAATCCCAGATTTTACCAAATAAAAGTAGTGACATCACGTTGCTGCGCATAGCCTGTGCAGTGAGCAAAGCTGTAGGAGGGACCCAGCAGGCTCCACCCACTACAGGCTGCCTGCAGAAAACTATGGAGGGGGAGGATTCAAGACCTGTCACCCTGCACAAGGAGAGCGAGTAGCAACGACTGGCCTTCATTACAGGAAACTCCTGCACAGAGGCAAAGTCTCACACTGGATGAGTGCACAGATCTGGAAGAAATACACAAAGCACACTGCAAATCAAGTGAAAATACACATCTCTTGTATATAGACAATATTTGCTTATTCTGGGGTTTAGCTTTAATTTTGAGTCCATTTGCGTTTACGCTCACTCATGAAAACCACTCACTTCCTGCCATTATTTTCTGAGTACGGAGTGGGAGAGTCTTCCTTTAGTCACATGACTAAGTCACATAATTTAAGAGGCGTTTGTAATTACCAACAAAAGAGACACATCCCACTCTACCTAACAGCAGCCACTTATCCAATTATACAGCCACTTATACTCCCAAACTGAGTATAAACATAAAGAAAAGAATAAGGGAATCAGAATTTTTTACACACACGCACGCACACACGTACCTCGGTTCACGAATGCTTCGGTTCGCAAACAGGGAGTTCGTCAAAATGTTTCCTCCATTCGCGAACTCTGCTTCGGGTGATGAACACGACTGCGGCCATCTTCGGCGCTCTGACACATAGTCGTGGCTTCCTGTACTCAAGATTGCGGTCGCAGACAGGGCTGTGGACACATACTGTGAAGCTTTTTTGTGTGCTTTGTAGCACAGTACTGTATGGTATTACTGTATTCAAACCAGCATGGCTCCCAAGAAAGTGAAGAGCAAGTGTGGTGGGAAAAAGAAAACTCAGGGCATTAATGAAGGTGACAAGAACGTGCAGTGCATTAATGAAGGTGTCAAGAATGTGCAGATCATTAATGAAGGTGACAAGAATGTGCAGAGCCTTAATGAAGGTGACAAGAAGCAAGAATGGTAAAACAAAGTAACTTTGTATACTGGTAAAAAAAAAAATGTATATGGTTCAGAACGGATTACCCTGATTTACATTGAACCCTATGGGAAATTGTGATTCGGTTTGCGACCAGTTCGGTCAGCGACCAGAATCGTGGAACCAATTAAGTTCGTGAACCGAGGTACCACTGTGTGTATATATATATATATATCTTTAAAGAACTTCAAAACGTTTATAAAATATCCATCTACCAAAAAAAATGTAATTTCCCCTCATTGACTAAAAAGACAATAAGGGGAATTTATCAAAACTGGAGCAGCTGTGCATGACAACCAATCAGCATCTCTCTTTCATTTTAAAATCTTAACTGAGCAAACTGAAGAGAGAAGCTGATTGGTTGCCATGCACAGCTACTCCAGATTTTGTCTGCTCCAGTTTTGATAACTTCCCCTCAATGTGTCATTAAAGCCATACACTAAAAGATTTTTTTTCTTCAGTCTGGGAGCTGAACGAATACAATATAACAGATTCCTCCATCCTAGCTGAACAGAATGGAAGGAGAAATCTCCTGCTCCAGCTATTGTATTTTGGGCATTTTTGGGGAACAGAATTCCTGAACTGTTCTTCACAAATGCCACTTTTGGCGAGCCAGCTGCCCACCCACTGTTAGAATATTGGCCAGTTCCTGTGAATTGGCCAACATTCTCTGTGTAAGGCCAGCTGTGTACAGAATATACTCGTGCAATTTTTTGGTAGCTTTCAGAAATCATAGCTGGCTGCAGATTTAACTAGAAAGGAAATTTTGTATTAATACTGCCTTATAAAAAATGCTTTTGTAGCAGCTTATCCAACTGTTCTATGTTCTATCAATTGTTATAACAAAAGTGGAGTTAAACTCTAAAAAGAGCCTCACCCAAGATGATTCAGACTCCATGTAGTAATAAGGAGTGCTCTAATCCGAGATTGTACTTATAGGCCTAGTTCACATGGGAGGTGGACTTTATCATCTCTCTGAAAAGTGATCTGCAGTGGCTTTTGAGGGTTGGTTTGAAGGTGTTCAGGAGGTGATTCTGTTGTTTCCTAAATGCCTATGTTATTAATTTTTTTAATCCCAGGGGGAATTTTACATTGAAAAATGTTTTGGTTGGCTTGTGGTCCCATTCATTTGGCACCACCTGCCAGATGTGACATGCCAAGTTGAAGGGTAATTCCATTTTTCCAGGCAAGTTTGGGAACAGGGAATCTGTCCCCTCTCCACCCTCCCGCTGCTCTTACTTGTCAACAATCGCTCCTTCCCCTCCGCAGCTACCGGTGTAATATTCATACTCTGTACACAGGATTTCAGTCCTGCTGTATGTATTTCAAATTGTGTTCACAAATGGCGAGCACTCATTATCACCTTACTGAGCTGAACAATGAGCAGCCCTTCTCATTGCTCAGCATGGTCAGAAGTGCTTCTCATTGAGTGCAAAATACATACCGCAGGGCTGCTATTCCATGTAGGGAGTACGGATAGCCATGGAAGGGGAAGGTGCAATTGTTGACAGGTAAGAGCAGCAGAGGGGGCAGATTGGTGGGGGTAATTCCATGTTTCCAAGTTCACCTGGGAAAGTAAAATTACCCTCTAAACTTGCCATACCACGAAGTGAAGCATGGTTGCCATAGCAGTGTATTCTGACCTGAGCAGCTACCTGGTTGATTTTTCTTTAGGTGGGGGGCAGTAAAAATGCTGATCAGCCGCCTGTCTTTATCACCTCTTTGCCGCCCATGTGAACTTAGCCATAGTAGCATCTTCAGATAAAATTGCAGGTCATCTGATGTATTGGCACTCTTTGGGTGTCCTAATTTCTGTACAGACATAAGTCCTCCATAACGATGGTGGGGCCTGGCTGTTGTTTAGAAATGGGTTACAGGAAGTATTTCTGCACAAGGGGGGTCACAATAATCTGGGTATAATGCCAACAGCTTCTGCATTGTCATACAACATGTACAGATGAGCTGTATCATCTCAGCACAAACATTAACTGTATCCCTTATCACACAAGAGAGCATTATACATGCACTATAGAACATCTCTGTTCTCCTTCATATGACAGGTGAAAACTTTGATCCACAGTCATTCCATGCTGAGGGGATTGCAGCCCAGCAGGCAGAAAACACACAATGACTTTTTAATAAGAAACGCTCACCCATCTGACATCACTCTACAGGAATGATACCAGCGGCTGAAGTGCTTCAGTGAGCCTGTCACTTGTGAAGGGAAGGGTACCCTCAGACAATGGGTGCCCGCTGTTAAATATTTTCAAATTCGATACGTTTAAATGACAGGTGCATTACAGTAGTCAAGACATAAAAATAATCGGGCACACGAGTAGGATGACTGACACTATAGTTACACTAACAGAATTGAGATTTTGAGTTTAAATAAGTGCAAAGACACGGTGTATAGGGTTAGCTATAGAGCTGCCAGTTTACAGCACAAGGGCATTGCATTATCATGTTCTTCTGCTGAATAGAAGTCAAAAGCCTTCTGGCTTGTCTGCAAATATCACTTGTTCGCAAAACTGAAGGCTGCTTTTGTGATAAATGACTTTTGAAATGTGTATTTAAGATGAGCTAATGACATGGCCACCAAGCACAATAGAGCAAATAGGCACATTATACTATTAATAAAGCAGTGCAAGTGCCCTGTATTACCAGCACAAAGGGATCAGGCTGGTTCGCCCCTGGCACAGGTCTGTGCTGCGTAAGCAGCTGGCATGGCTCCTTCATTGAGCACAGTACAGCTTCCTCTCGAGTGCCCAGGCTGCCCTGACTCAGCTTGAGCTTCTACTTGTTGGCTTTCAGTCATTTGCAGGGGAGGTAACTGATGTATTCTGGCATCAAATCCTCTTATATAACCCTCACACAGGCTCCCTGGTCCACTGAACATCCTCTAAGTACCCCGATGCCGTTTACATTGACCACCGCCTGCAGAGTAGGCCAGATGGCTACAAAAATGTTTCTTTTCTCCATGGAAGAGTTCTTTCTGCATATTTAAAGTGACTCTGTCACTTGATACAAAATGTCTCCTTGTAAAGAAAAGATGTGAAGCTATTCCTCCCACATACCATACTGGAATCAACTATGTGGTTATGAGGGTGCAGCAATGACTCCTTACTGGTCACAGTATATGGACAAGATGTGTCATCTACACAACATTCTCTCCGGGTGAAAAGCTGCTTTTATTGCATGATCACATAGATGAGCAATGTTTTGGGACCATGCAGGAACCCTTCACCAGGCATGTGATATTCACGTGTCTGAAGTCAGGTATACATGCTTCAAATTTCAATGTGTGGGTGCCACTGTCGGCCTGTTTCCAACAGGCATCCCTTGTTCACCTGATCGAAGGAGCATGTTGGAAAATTGTCGGTGGGTCAGAGCTAGTGGCCGCTGTCAGAATCAACACTCATAACAGTTGATGGAGGAAGCTTTTCTATTTTCTTTGTTCAGCCGGCAGGTTGAACTAAGAAAATAGAAGAGTATCTACCCAACTTTAGTCCCTGCATAGTCCTGAAATTTTGCTCATTTATGCGATCATATATAAAAGAAGCTTTACAACTGGAGACAAGCTTGTGGGTGTGCTGATGACATATCTTATCCCTGTAAACTCCTGCTGTTGTCGATCTGTGTTCCCTAAGATACAGCAGCAGGAGAATCTTCAGTTACCTGGTCCCCCTACTGCACTCTGTGGTTCCACCCGCTGTCCCCTATGACATTACTGTGTTCTGTAGTAAAGTATGTCAGATGCTGAAGATGCTTCTGCTGCCATAGCTCTACAAGATAGCAAAGGTCAGTGGTGCAGGTGGCGTGAAAGGTAAGTATTAACTTTTGCTTTCCTAGGAGGCACTTTGATGACACTTATTATTCTAGCAGTGTTTAATCTGACTGCAATGAACTGAGTGATAATGAAATAATAGTATTTTTAATGCAACAAAGTAAAATATTATTTGTATAAACTGTCCTTATCAAATCCAGGTAAAGGAAAGTGTCTATGTTGCTACTGGCACAGTTACTAATGGCACCTATTGGGGTTCATCATTTTGTTTTTAGAACCAGCACTATAAAAATGAGAGCCGGATTCTGGTTGCTCCTGTCTGCTTCCCTCTAGTATATGCAAATGAAAGCCTATTCACATCAAAATGGGAAGGTAGTCGCAGGTCAGTTGGTACCTTCCAATTTCCGTGCGATTCATTATGTTCTGCTGTGTTTTTTGTCTTTTTTTTATTTTTTGGACAAGCTGTATGTGAAGTAGAGGTGTCCATACGCTGCTCGATTCTCGTACGAGAATCGCGGGAAATCCCGCGATCGTACGAGAATCGAGCAGTGTGAACGAAGACGTGCGACCGTTTTTACTGTACGGTCGCACGTCTTTTGTCGAACCAACATGCTCGAAAACCCACGGAGAATCGTACGATTGTCGGCGGGTTTCTAGCCTGCTCGTTCGACAGCTGTGGAACGGGCCGGTGTGCGCACGCGCACACTGCCCGTTCTGCATTGCGGTCATCGGAAGCCCGCCCCTCAGAGGGCTTTCGATGATCGCAAGTACGATCTGCCTGTCCAAGATGGGCAGATCGTACGAGCTTTTAATAAGCTTACGACCATCGCAAGACAAAAGTCTTGCGATGGTCGTAAGGTGTATGGGCACCTTAACATGTCCAGAGTTGACATACGTCACTGTAAAGCTTGCTCTGCGTTGCGTTGGCGCACATTTTTGCCGCATTGCTTTACACGGAGAAAAAGAGCATGCTCTAGGTTTTTTTTCAGCGCAAAGGACGGCAACACAATGTACTGGTGTGAACTGTCCCAATTACACCCATTTATTTTTCGTTGTACTTGCGTTACCATCCGTGGATCCGGTGTGAATGGGCCATAAATGGCTGAGTTAAGCTGGCCTTACACTGCGAAAAATCTCATGAAAACATTTGATGATGCCATCAGTCAGAGACTTGATGAATGCCGCTCAAAATTTCGTTTGATTTTAACAATTGATTTTGGAATGAATGGAGTTTCCTGAACAAAAACCACATTCTATGTTACAATTTTGTTCTTTCAAGAAAAAAAAAATCTGCATCCTGCTCCTTCGATTTTGTGATGGATTTGACCCCATTATTAATTCAAAAATCAAATGTTCAGAACAAAGTTGTAACTGTGTATACCCAGCCTAATGTGTATTAAGTCTGGAATTGGAGTGTTTACAATATTGTCTACCTCTTCATCTGCGATCCACAAGTGTGCTGTAACATGCGTCAGTTAATGGCATCCTGTCTGATGCTCAGAACTAATGATGAGGCTTGGCTTGGTGTGAACCCAGTTTGTCAGAGTTTGCTCAAAACTGTGACTGCCACCCCCCGACCCAATCAGTTGCAGAGAGGCACATTCCCGCCCCACAGCTATATGTCACAAGGAGGTGGGGAATGTACCGCCACAACTACCACCATTAATTGGGCCAGGAAAGGGGGGGGGGTTTGCACCAAGGGCGGTTATAGTTTTCATCGGGCTTGGGGGAACTGGGTTTGCACCAAGCCAGGCTCATCTTTGCTCATGGCAGACACAAGTAGCAGCAGGTCGTGGAGTTGGCAGTACCAGGAACACGCTCGGGGCTACAGGACATGGAGGCAAGAGGCAGATTATAACACTGATGACGCACACACCCACCTTAGTCCTGAAGCATGTTCTTAATATATCATACTTCTGTTTTAATGATGATCTTAGCACAACTAAATCCAATTCCTCTATATGTTTGCAGGTATATTGATAGGAAGGCTTTCCTGGAGAGAGTGGACTACAGGCAGTTTGAACGAGAACGGGAAATCAGACTTAAAAACATGAAACCTTCCTGACCCCTGTTTGCCGATTGCCGAAGCATGAGGCCGATTCAGGGCCACAATCATGTCATTGCTGAGTGGAATATGATGATCTGTATATTTGGACTGTAATAGGAACATTTTAGCTTATTTGGTCTCCGGGATGTTTTTTTTACTTTGGACAGGATTTCCCACTCGGCACCATTGTGTTGATGAATGTTTTCAATGTTACCAAAATAATAAATGTGACTTTGTATATAAACAATTCAGGCAATCGAGTAATTTCTGGAATGCTACAGGCTTGTAAAACGGTAAAGAAATTCTAGATGTGTGAATGTGTAAATATTCTTGACAATGTGTATTTAAATATTATTGACACTGAGGGGAATATATCAAAACTGGAGCAGACAGTATCTGAAGCAGTTGTCCATAGTAACCAATCAGCTTCTATCTTTCATCTTTAAAATGTAACTGAAGAGAGAAGCTGATTGGTTCACATAGGCAACTGCTCCAGACTCTGTCTCCTCCTGTTCTGATCAATTCCTCCATATTAAAAAAAACAAACAAAAGCAGACAGATCTAGGCATATACGCAAACTTAGATTCTCCGGCATTTTCACTACAGATTCACGTTCTCTTCAGTGGCTGGAGAGGAGTGGATACTAATGAAGATTTTTAGGTTAAATTGTCATTTATAAGACGTTGAATGTGTGCAAGCGGGAACAAAACGTCCACCACAGGAATCGTATGTGAATCATTTAACGCAGTAATTTGCCATCTGCTAATTAAAAAAAAAACAGAGCAGGTCTTTTGGCTGGAACACTTGACATATTATAAGAAAATGAATGTAAATGAGAACAGGCTTTCCAAATAAGTAACAAGCATAGTCAAGTTTTTGTTTTTATATGAACACAGAGGAAGCAAGGCTTTATTGAGTATGCATGACTGTGCCCACAGCAAAGGCTAAGTACTTATTTTCTCAGTATAGGTTCCCTTTTAGGGCCCAATCACAATTTGCCTTTTTGGTGCATTGCTCTAACACATGTGTGTTATGTTCTGTGTCAATGCACCAGAACAAAAACAGGACATGCAGCATTTTTTCTCATGCAGCCCACCACAACTCACAGTAGTGCATTACTGTGCATTGGTGTGCAATGAAAGGAATGTCCCCGCAATACACTAATGTGACGATTGTGCAGATTGTTCCAGTAACGTGCACATTACCCAATGCACTGGAATGGATAGGTGTAAATGGGCCCTTATTAAATTGCTACATTCTCTGTGGGTTGGATGAATCCACATGCTTATTCTCCGTTCACCTGAAAGGTAACAGATTTTCGTGTGTGTGTACTGTATATCGTATATTAGGCACTTGTGTCCTGCATTTGCAGTGTTATTCAATGGTTGTGCTTTGCTTCTCCTTCTTACAATGCAAGTCTATGAGTCGGACAAACTCATTTATTTTCCCCAGTCAGAACAGAGACCACAATAAAAATAAGGACTAACAAAGGGTCCACTCCCCAAGTGTTGTGTTATATCTTTGCAATAAGTGCCAAAAATATCTGTTGATCCTGGCAGAAATGCAGAGCAGTACTGTGCACAGTCCCTGTGGTATTTCAAGGAGTCTAAATACCCCCCTAGTTCTCCTCTTGAACTACAGAACAAATAGGGCCATTGACACTTTGCTGTTCCTGTGCGGTGTATTAAAACCTGTGCAGTCACGCAATAAGTGGGTTGCGGTAAGGCAGCTGTTTACAGGAATGAGCAGCCAATGCACCAGAACAGATGAAAAACTGACGTGCAGCATTTTTGTGACGCAGCCCACCACAATGCATGTTAGTGTATCAATAAAATGTCATATCACCGCAACCTGCCACCGCATTTAGGCCCAGTTTACACCTAGGCGTATTGTCGCAGCTGATTCAGCGCGACAAAACGCTCAACCTCAGGAATCCCATTCTTTTCTATGACCCCTGTTCAGGCCTTTGCGTTTTGTCACAAGTAGAAAAACGGCTGTCACGCAAATTAGTACATGAGCTACTTTGGGGCAGATTTCAGCGCGTTTTGTCCCCATAGATTCAATTGAAAACACACGTTGTGCTTGTTTGCATGTTTTTGCTCATTCACATGAGTGTGACAAAATCTGCTCACAAAAACGCATGACTTAACATAAGCGCGCAAAAACGCACAGCAACTGCTCAAGCAAAAATCGGTGTCGGCGCTTAGGTGTGCATGCAGCCTAAAAGTGTATGGAAACCCTAACAATGAACATCTCCTATTTGCTCCTTTTTTGATTTGTTAACTATTTGAGTGGCAGCTGTCATTTTAAAACAAGGCTGGTATAGTGGCTGTACATTCCAACATTGTTTTAAAATGGTGGTTTCTGCGGGACCCACTGTTGCTAGTGCTGGAATTGCTGGCTGTCTATGACTACTACTAAGCCCAGGAGCTGAAACAATCCATTTCTGGACTTCACACGCTTCTACAGCTCCCTTCATGCATTTGATGGATGCTGATTAAATCACTTACAATGGATGCTGCTTCATGATGTTGAACGTTTTAGATTCCTGCAGAATCAGCTGGTCCCCTGAGCACCGGTCCTAATATCCTGTTTTAACTTGGCTCCTTTCCCTTGCAGGGTCCTGTGGAGCCACCTTTGTGTTTGTTAGTAAGCTGTGTATAACTCCACAAAGACAACAGGCACAGCAGGGCGAGACACTCCCTTGCTTCCTGCTCCATGCTTCTCTCTACCCCCTTCTCCAAGCTAGTAGATGGACAACTGCTGGAGACTGTGTTGTCCCTTGTTATCTTGTACTGGACAAGAAGTTCAGAGAAGCAGCGCTGAGAGAGTTGGAGCCGTTTGGAAACATGAGGACTGTAAGTGTTTGAGCCAACATTTAAATGAATACTTTGCTGGGGAATGTATATTTGATTTGAATTCATTTTACTGTATTACTATATTTGAAGCCTTCAGCCACTAAGAATATGCGCTCCCTGAAAATACATTATACTTTCCCTTTTAATACCTGCACTTTTTTTTTTTTTCGTTTTTCGTTGTACCCTTGTCAATTACATGTTTTCACACTGAGTGGGTTTTGTGACATGCTCCTGTGTAATTGTGCAGGTTTGTATATTGATTGTTCTGTGTGAAGTAGACAGGCCTCTTCTAATATAAATTCCGGCACAGGATCCGTGTACACATTCTGCACATTTACTGCTTCAAAGCACTTGTCACCCCAGTGAAAAATCAATCCATGTGTATTTCAAGCTGGAAGTTACTGTGAAAGCTGTTCCTCTTACATAACATGCACCCCCTTTTGAAGAACGGAGGGCTTTCGCATGATTTGGCAGAGACACTGGTCTGCAGATGACAGGTCCCTTATTCAAACAGAAGTCTGAGAGAGCACTGAGGCCTACATGCTCAGCTGCACAGTCCTGCACTGACTGCGTCTTGTGCAACTGTTCTCAACAGCTGGCACTGTTACCCAGCCAGGCTCATGCCTGTGTTTTCCCAGGTCGGATGTTGAATTTATTGAGGATGCATCACTTAGCAGAAGAACTGGAAAATAAAACTTACCCTTGCAGTGGGGTTATCCCCGCACTGTGAGGGTTAAAGGAGAACTATGGGGTCAGTGTTTTTCTTCATAGTTCTCCTTAGGGTAACGGGAGGACACAAACTAGCGTCCTCCCGTTACCCTAAGCTCAGTATACCGCAAGCTACAGCTCGCGGTATACTGAGACGCCGGAGCGGATCCCGACATAGATGACGGGATCCGCCCAGCTGCGTGAGTGACAGCTGGCTCTGCCTATCTAGAGTCAGAGCCGGCTGTACCCGCCCCCTCCCCGTCCGTTCCGCCAGTCAGCGCTGGCAGGTTGGAGCGGGGAGAGGGGAATCCAGCCCCTCCCCCTGTCACGGCAGAGAGCCGTGACAGGATCGAGAGGCGAGCGAACCCGGTATGTGTTCGCTCACTTCCCGATCTACTGAGCCAACCTGTGACAGTCTCATTGTCACAGGTCGGCTAGAACTATGAGGTGAGTGAAAAGCACTCACCTCATAGTTCTCCTTTAAGCGCTCATTTTGTCTATGGGCTCAAATAAAGCCCCTAGACAGCCTAAACCTCGGTACCGCTCACCTAAACCTCAGTATCGCAGAGGTCAGCACTCACCTCTCTCCCCTGCCACTTCGTCTATGAAGCGTCCCTCGGTGTCCCTCGGACTTACATTAGACGTGATGATGTCAGCAGATCCTTAGAATGCTAGAGCCTAGGGGACAAGAGGCTAAAGGGACCAGTCTAGCAGCCCAGAGGGGCCGGGGATCAGGTAAGTAAATCTGCTTTATTTGAACCCTCTAGGCCGGTGTTTCTCAACCTGTGTAACCTCAGGACCCACATTTGTTTTTGGTCATTAAGTCACGACCCAAATCGCACTGCAATGGAACGCACGGTATTAGGGTACCGCGCATTCCGGTGCGGGCGTACGAACTGTGGGTGGGAGGTGCGTTTGGGGGTACTATTCAAATGAACGGCAACGCAACACACCTCCTACACCAAAATGCAAGGTAGGTGTGATTGCGTGGTACAGTTTAATGCACTGTACTAGTGGGAACGGCCCTCAAAAACACTGACATACAGACGCAATCTTACACACTCCCCAAAAATTTTTTTGTTTTTAGGTTTTTTAAGGTCCACCCAGTCTCCCTACCTTACGAGAACTGGAGTGGATCCTCAGCCTGGGGTCCAGTGTGGGGTGCTGTACTGTGAGGGAGCTTCATCTATGTGTGCATTGCTTGTACAGCTCCCTTTGCGTGCTTTGTAGAGGTGCCAGGAGCCAGAATGTGACTCTGGTCCAGACACCTCTACAGGGCATGTGAGGGAGCTGTAAGCAATGCACGTATGGATGGAGCTCCCTCATGGCCATAGCCCCATCCCACCTCAAGCACCGTGCAGCATATTTTGAATGGCTGCTTGACGCCGGAACTGACTGCGCTAGGGGGAGGCAGAGGAGCCTCTTGCCTAGAAAAGTGGAAGGCATGCGCTGAGCCACTGAACACGGGGTCGCGACCCACTTTTGGGTCACGACCCACCAGTTGAGAACCAAGGCTCTAGGTGAAATGAGCAATTGACTCTTGTGGGGTATCCCCACTGCAATGGTAAGTTTTTTTTATTTTCCCAGTTTCCCAGAGTTCTTCTTTAAATGTAAGGAACCTGTAACTATATTACTGCCATGCCTTGCAGCTTGTAGTCACTTTATATTATGTAAGCCT